GTCACTTAGATGAGAAAATGAGACTAGTTCAATGGACAAACTAAGCTATATCTTCAAGGACAAAAATTATTAACAAAACTTAAATTGTCAGGCTCCCAATATTTACATGGTGTGATTATGACCAAAACTATCAATGTAGATGTTACGTTACTTTCACATGACTTAAAATAACATGGCAGAACCATCAAATCACTTAATATTTATTTACAATTAAATTGTAAGTCGTGGGCAATTTTAATTTGACTATTCTCGTTGCAAGAATCAAAATTTACATATTCAAAAATATCGAGACCTCGAAACCTCACAATTGAAGGTTATGGACCAAAAATTTCACCAAATGAAATATTGAGTGTATCCCTAATTTACCCTTTCTTTTATAGGACCATCTTTGCAGGTTTACTATTGGGACGTAAAGACGGGCTTGTTTCACTGGCTTCACACGTCGACGGCCACATTACCAGGGCTAACAATTCCTTAAACAATTTTCCAATCCATGGGCTTCACCGTCCAAGAAATGGTGGCATTAACCGCCGGCGGCCACACCATTGGGTTCGCTCACTGCAGTGAATTCAGCACCAGGCTTTTCGGTAAAAAGCCTGATCCCGCCCTGAATCCCAAGTTGGTCGAGGCCCTTAAACGCCACTGCGCAAATTACTCCACCGATCCCACCATAGCTGTCTTCCTCGATGTGATTTCTCCTGGGCGTTTTGACAACAATTTCTTGAAGAATTTACAGAAGGGCTTGGGAATTCTAGCTTCGGACATTGCATTAATGAAGGATCCAAGAACTGTAGCAATCGTGAATCAGTATGCCATGGATAACAACTTGTTCTTCAGAGATTTCTCCAGGGCAATGGCAAAGCTTAGCGTGTTGGGAGTGAAGACTGGACATAAAGGAGAGGTGAGAAAAAGATGCGACATGTTCAACAATGTTGATTAAGAATGGAAATTGGAATTGGAAATTAGGATTTTGTTTCCAATGTTTTGAATTGATTCTCAGCCATCTGATGACGATCTAAAGATGATTTTAGATTGATTACTTATTGTTAATCTTGATTTTCTTAAAAATAATACTGATGTTAGTAAAAGTTGTGGTATATTTTAGATTTCCAATGAAGTTTTGTATCCTTAATTACACGTTTTAATGCATCATTTCACTTGTAATCTATTTCCTTTTCCCTTTTTTCTGTCTCCAAGAAAAAATAACATGACAGAAACTGTAGAAAGTCATCCAAATTATGCAATTAATATAGCCCTTGTTTGAGTCCCATTCTTAACCAAAAAATGCATTTTTGAATAGTGTATTGATGGAAAATGCGTGATTAAAAAATAAAGAATAGTTTTAAATTTACGTACAATATTATTTTAATGAAAAAATGTATGATTGAAATG